GTGTCAGCCAGGATGGTCTCGATCTCCTGACCTCGTGATCCGCCCGTCTCGGCTTCCCAAAGGAGGCTTACATCTTAGCCAGGCCACCTGAGCGGAAACAAACACCTCTTTCCCAGTTACAGCAAAAGCCTCAGGGCTGACTCAGTAGACCAGCTTGGGTCAAATGCTGTGCCCTGAAACAATCATTGTGGCCAGGGGGCTGTAATACTGGAATCGGCCAGTCCAGGGATGTCTCCCCGACCCTGCCCAGCCAGGGAGGGAGGGGCCTGCCCCACCAGAATCCCATAGATTGACCGTGGTGGTGGGGAGGGGTGGTTGGGGCGGGGGCGGGTCACCAGCAGAAAATCATGGTGCTGTCAACAAATGAGGGGAAGTTGATGCTGGGCTGGAGAAAACAGCTACCCAGGCAACCCCATGGCAGCCAAGGACAGGGCTACATGAGGGTAGGGTCCAGAGTGTCACAGCCCTCCTGTCCCTCAGGCACTGTACGCTCACTCTCGTCCCCCGTCTCTCATCCTCCCTCTTCTCCCTGCAGACTGGCTTTCTCTGTTCACTCACTTTTCTACATCCCCAAACTCTGGCTTGTAGTGGCTCCAGCTCTGCATCTGATGCCACACCATGCAGTGGTACAGGGTCCTGATTCCAAATTCACAGGAAGGAGAACCTTGCTGGCCCAGCAGACCATTCCTGATGTCATCTGCTATGGCCAGGGTGGTCAGTGACACCTGGGGCTGTCCCTTCATGGGACCACAGGCATTGGATTCCCCTGCTGGGCACACAGGTGCCCAGTGACTGTCAGTGGGCCAGGCCCAGGTCCCTCCTGTTTCCTGCAGCCTCTTTCAGGGCCCCGCTCGAGAGTCTGAAGCCACCCCCTAATGTGCCCCACAGCTATGAGCTCAGAGTTGTCATCTGGAACACGGAAGATGTGGTTCTGGATGACGTGAATCCACTCACCGGAGAGATGTCGAGTGACATCTATGTGAAGAGGTAGACTGCAGGCCAGGTGGGGCAATGGCAGTGCACTAAGGGGGGACTGTAAATGGGTGTGGGCCCTCGGGCTGAGTCCAGAGCCCGGTCCCCAGGCCCTCCGTGGTGCTGAGAGCTGGGTGAGGAGTGGGTTCTCCGTGTAGCTCCAGCCCTGACACTCACCCAACCCGGCCCCAGCTGGGTGAAGGGGCTGGAGCATGACAAGCAGGAGACAGATGTTCACTTCAACTCCCTGACTGGGGAGGGGAACTTCAATTGGCGCTTTGTGTTCCGCTTCGACTACCTGCCCACGGAGCGGGAGGTAAGCGTCCGGCGCCGGCCTGGACCCTTCGCCTTGGAGGAGGCCGAGTTTCGGCAGCCCGCAGTGCTGGTCCTGCAGGTCTGGGACTATGACCGCATCTCCGCCAACGACTTCCTTGGTATTGCACTGCTTAGCCTTCCCCACCCTCAGCCCCTGCCTCCAGCCCTCACCTCTGTCCCCTGGTTCCCTACTCTGACCCAATCTTGAATCAGGATTTTGGACCCGAGGTCTGAAACCTTTGCTTTCTGGCCTAATTACTGAGTTAATTGAGCCCAGACTACAGTAACCTCCATTCCCACCAAGTCTCTGATTCAACTCTGATTTGACCCTAGCTTGTCACCCTGACACTGACTCCACAGCCTCTGCTCCTTGACACTCTGCTCCCAACCCCTGGCCCTCTTCCACTGGGGAGTGGCAATGGGTAGACCGCTGGGCTGTGGTTTGGGTGGTCCATAACTGTGGCCTGACCACACACTGCAACTTTCAGATGCCCCAACTTACAACCTTGGTGTGTTGCCTCCTCACCCCTGGCACAATGAGACTTTGATCCCATGCCTAACCCGGTGTGCTCTGGACTTGCAGGATCCCTGGAGTTGCAGCTACCGGACATGGTGCGTGGGGCCCGGGGCCCCGAGCTCTGCTCTGTGCGGCTGGCCCGTGATGGGGCCGGGCCGAGATGCAATCTGTTTCGCTGCCGCCGCCTGCGAGGCTGGTGGCCGGTAGTGAAGCTGAAGGAGGCAGAGGACGTGGAGCGGGAGGCTCAGGAGGCTCAGGCCAGCAGGAAGAAGCGAAAGCAGAGGAGGAGGAAGGGCTGGCCAGAAGACCTGGAGTTCACAGACACGGGTGGCAACGTGTACATCCTCACGGTGGGTGCCCGTGGCGGAGGCCAGGCTGAGCTGGGGCCTGAGCCGGCCCTGTGCTCCCAGTGATGCAGGAGTGTCTTTTTTAGGGCAAGGTAGAGGCAGAGTTTGAGCTGCTGACCGTGGAGGAGGCTGAGAAACGGCCGGTGGGGAAGGGGCGGAAGGAGCCAGAGCCTCTGGAGAAACCCAGGTGAGTCAGGCACGGGGGCCGGGGCCACAGCCTGGGCCGATGGGGGAGGCGGGGGTGCCCAAGGGGCCACCTTCTCATCCTGACACCACCCTTCTCCTCAACAGCCGCCCCAAAACTTCCTTCAACTGGTTTGTGAACCCGCTGAAGACCTTTGTCTTCTTCATCTGGCGCCGGTACTGGCGCATCCTGGTGCTGCTGCTGCTACTGGCGCTGCTCATCGTCTTCCTCCTCCTGGTCTTCTACACCATCCCTGGCCAAATCAGCCAGGTCATCTTCCGTCCCCTCCACAAGTGACTCTCACTGACCTTGGACACTCACCCAGGGTGCCACCCCTTCAACGCCTGCTCCTGGAAGTCTTTCTTGCCAACGTGAGCTACCCGAGAGTCCAGCGCTTCCTCTGAATAAACCTATCACAGCCACTGACCCGTGGTCACGTGCTGTCCAAGGCTGGCGCTCCAGGTGGCAGAGAACAGATGTTCTTGGGTGGCTCAGGTGCTGGGGGCTTACTTGGAGAATGCACAGGGATAGAAGGCTGCCCCCATCCCCACTGCAGGGAAGAAAAGGGCCTCGGCAGCTGAGTTATGACCCCCTCTGAGCAGCTCCACCACGGCTCCTGCTCCTGCTGGCGGCCAGGTCCCTCTCACCTCACCTGTTTCTGGCTTCCACTGCTCCAGGACAGCTAAGGACCTGACAGACTCCATTAACCTGTCCATTCCTCACCATCCCTGAGAGAGGCTTCCATCAGAGCTGGATCTCGGGTCTGACTCCAGAGGTTCTGCTGTCACTACCTGACTTCGCTTCCTTTCCCCTTTCTCTTGCTTTTCCCCTGCCACAGTCTTAGATCAACATTCGAGAGATGATCTGATAAACTGGTTGTTTAGGTACCCCTACCTCCCTGGGCCATAGACTGGTGAGGTCGCTGGGCCCTGCTTCTCCACATGTAGCCAGAGTTCTAACGAGAAACCCTGATTAGGCCCCAAGCCAGGGGTCTGGTGCTGGCCCTGCTCCAGAATGGCCACTGCTACCTTCCCACCTTCCCACCTTGATGTTCAGTTTTGCTTCCACCTAGGAGACTGCAAAGGACCTGGAGGGACTCCTCACTGCAGTGAGAGCCAGCGCGGGCGGGGTTTGGCACAGAGTGGGATCAGTGAGTGTGACAGGATCAGGTGGACTGAGCCCAGGGTGGTGGAGAGCGACCCCAGCTTTACCCATCAATGAAGTGGCAAGCCCCAATCTGCACCCAGGGCCCTGAATTAGTGGCCTGGGGGCCATGGTGGCTCCAGGAAGCTCACGCTAAAAAGGTCCAAGTGAGCCCTGGGGCTGAACCCGAGAGGTCTGAGGACCACAGTGGAGGGCGGGACCCAGGGCTGTGGGCTGGACATGAGTCTGGTTTGAATAAACCCCAGTCAGTCAACTAGGAGATGCCCATGTAGGGGCTCCTGCGGGCTCTGGGCCCCGATCCATCAGTCACGATTGCCTTCAATGAGTGGCCAGGATGAGGCTTTAGCCATGGCAAGGATCACACGGAGACCAGTGAGTACTATCACAATCAATAGATTTATCAACCTGGGGCTGGGGCTGACTGAGGAGGTGGAGGGTGGCGGAGGCTGGGGGACAACCACAAGCCAGGGAGAGACAGGAGACAGAGGAAGCGCTGAGGGGTGACTACGTTGTCTTCCCTAGATCAATTTTCTTCTGAATGGCTCGTGCTGAGTGGTAGATGAGTGAATCGATGAGTCCGGCCACTGGGAGAGAGACAAGGGCTGGCACTGGCCCAGTGGGGGCCTTGGCTTTTGACGCTGAGAGCCTTGTCACTTAACTGGCCAGGCCAGCATCTGCCCCTTCACCCCCAACCAAACCTGGGGCACCCAGGCTTTACTCTCCCCACCCTACAGCTCACAGGCACCCTGGGCCTCTTACCTGTGAACATGCCCCCAATGATGGCGCACACGCCTGTCAGGAAGTGGGTGAAGGACCTGGTGGAGGGAGCGGGTGGGCTCAGCAGGCACACTCCTCCCTCAGGCTCAGGCCCCCAGAGGCCGCTCTGCCCCTGCCCTCACCTGTGCTTCTCTGTCAGCTTCACCATCATCGGCGAGAGCTCATAGAGGACGAAGACTCCGGGAAGGCCCTGGTCGCCCAACAGCCCATTGGCGACCTTCTCATGTCTGGTCACAGAGAACTGATTTGTCCTCAGCACCTGGGGTGGGAGGGGAGCCTAGACCAGGGCTAGGGCTAGGACCTGGCTTCAGCCACCATCAGCCCCACCCCTGCTCCTTCCCCTTTCCTGCTGAGCCTTGACCGTGCGGGGAGAAAACATGGCACTGTGCTGGTGGCCTGCACTGCAAGGCCTGGCCTGCCAGACCCCCTCTCCTAGCCTTGGCCTCAGCCTTCCCCTCCAGATGCCAGCTCTTTACAGTTTACCTATCCTGGCAGCATTTAGTGGGTGTTCTCACAGGGGTCCAGGCTGAGAAGCAACTCTCCAAAGACGCACCACCAAGGCTGAACTGACTTCCTCTGCCCTCAGTCCCTTGCATCCTGCCACTCTGCTGAGATGCTGCTCCACAGGCCACGGCACCCTCGGGAACGGGTACACAGAGGCTTGCCCTGACTAACCCCCAGCCCAGGCAGACCACAGGGGACAGTGAGGCAGGCAGACGATGGGCACCAGAGGAACAGATGGAGGCGGTGAGGACAGCGCAAAGAGCAGACGCTTTGAATCGGACAGCCCCAGGCCTGCACTCTGCTGGGAGGGCAAATCCCCCACCCTCTCTGGGCCTCAGTCTGTCATCCACCATGTGAGGACGAGGCAGTTTTCACTCCCCAGGCTGACGGAATAAAATGCAGGAACTCCAGTGCTTGGCAGCACGCAGGAGACTCTAGAGGGTAGGGAGCTCCCTGACTCACCTCTCCATCCACCTTCATGTACACAGTGGGCACCACCTTCACAAAGTACTGGAACATCATGGAGGCTGAGGGGAAAACAAAGCACTGGGTACGGGTGCCCGGCAGGCCTTCTGTGGCTGGGGGCTGCCTCCCGGGCTGGTACCTTGGGGTGCAGTGACATTGGTGTGGTCCAGGGGGTTCACAATGCCTGGATAGTCCTCCCCAAATGACAGGTGCTGGATGTAGTGGGTCATGTTGATCTGCAAACAACACCATCCAGAGCTCATCCAAAGCTCTGATGACAGTAGCAGACAGGGACACCTGGGTCTGTCTGTGGAGATGTGGGAGAAGGGGGAGGCTATGGCCCTAAGGGGACAACATCCCTGGGACAGGTATCCCCCACTCCTCACCTAGAAACTCCTCTTTCCACAGCCTGCAAACTCCTGGGGTTCCAGAATTTTTTTTTTTTTTGAGACAAAGTCTTACTCTGTTGCCCAGGCTGGAGAGCAGTGGCGTGATCTGGGCTCACTGCCTCTGCCTCCTGGGTTCAAGCAATTCTCTTGCCTCAGCCTCCTGAGTAGCTGTTACAGGCGTGCGCTGCCATGCCCAGCTAATCTTTGTATTTTTAGTAGAGATGGGGTTTCACCAAGTTGACCAGGCTGGTCTCGAACTCCCGACCTCAGGTGATCCGCCTGCCTCAGACTCCCAAAGTGCTGGGATTATAGGCATGAGCCACCATGGCTGGCCAGGTTTCAGATTTCTTAAAATACCAGCTTCACTCATAGGTTAGGCGCACACAGAGTGGCAGGTGCTGGTTTTGCCTGGAGGTCCAGGCTATGGAGGCTGAGGCTGGAGGCTGTGAGCCCCCAGATGCGCTCCCTTCTTGCTCCCCTGTGTATCCAACTCAGTCACTGGAAGGATCTTTCAGAAAATGCAAGTCTGATGATGTCATGACTCTGCTTAAAGAAGGCCAACAGCTTTCCACTGTTCTCAGGAGAAAGATGTGACTCCTCAGCGTGGCCTCTGAGTCCTGTGTGGTCTGGTCCCTGCTGACTTCTCCAGCCTCACCCATCCACACCTGCCCTGCAGTTCCTTAGAAGGGCCACGATCCCACCTGACCTTGTGCTGAGGTCTGTCGGTCTAGCATGCTTTTTCCAACCCCAACCTTGCCCCTAGCCTGCTCAGAGCTCAGTTCAAAAGTCACTCTCAACCCTCAGGCTGGATCCCCATTCAGAACATGGTGTATTTTTCTATAAGCACTCCCTGATCCCAGGATGTTCCTACAAGGAAATGAAGGCAGCAACCAAGCCTCCCACCCCCACCTGCCCTCCATGGTTTCCATCTGGTACGTACGTTGTCAAGGCCAAAGCTCTGCAAGTCATGGACTAGGAGAGAAGGGAGAAGGTGTCATCAGTAGGAGCAGCATTGGCCGCCTCACTCCTCCCTCTAGACTGCAAACCACCTGTCTTCTCTGACCCCTCACTCCCTCTCCAGCCTGGCCCCTCCTGGTCCTGCTTAAGGACGGCCGGAAAGGGCAAGCCTTGGGCCTGTGTGAGAGTTCATGCCCTCCTCAGGAGTGATAAGAACAGACCCTGGTTCCTCCCTGACATCCACAGGGAACTCTAGGCCTTCACTCCCAGCATGGCCCTGCCTGCATCTCCAAAAACAAAACCCACCGACTATGGGCTCTAACTGGAGCTGATGGCAAATCACTGAACCTCAAAGTGAGGTGGGACCCGAGAATGCCATCCACGCGTTCCCTGCCTCCACCCCCAAAGGTCCCCAGAGGAAATCCCATGGGGACCCTATACCAACTGTTCCAGAACAAGTTACTCCTGCCCTCTAGCCTCAATCCCTCCTGCTGCAAGGAACCATACTTCAAAGATACATCCCAGTCCTTTTTATAGTCACCCAGCAACCAGGTCAGAGAAGACCCAATCACAGACCCATCCAACCTCCCCGCATCCCGGTAGGGCAGGCTGCCCCAGAAGTGGGGGCTTGGCCTCCCTGGGGGGCGGGGCCACTTACTCTCCACAGCATGTACTGCAGCATGGGGGAGGGAGGAGAGAGAAGACAGATTCAGAGCTTCACAATAAGAACTATGGAGCAAGACATGTGGCAGGAAGGAAGACAGGAACATTCTGCCTCAGCAACACAGTCTGGCCCCAGCTAACAAGCCTCCACCTGGGCCCCTCCTCGAGAGTGAACTAATCTGGCCAGAGAGGAGCAGGAGACAGAGTGGCCTAGGAAAGACAAGAGGCCTAGAGCCCAAGGAGCCAAGTTCCTGACTGTATGGCCTTGGGCAAATCACTTGCCCTTTCTGGGCCTCAGTGTTCTCCTTTGCAAAGGGCTGTCCTAAGGATCAGGTGGGATCTAAGATGGAAAAATACTTGTAAACTTTACACTGTAAGAGATTATTACCCACCCCGGACCCAATCAACAAGGATATTAGAAACTCACTACCAGGCCTCACTTCAGCCAGATCTCTGGCCTTAGGCAAGTGTAGCTTTGTGTTTATACATCCTTCCAGTTACAGAGCA